AACATTTCCCGGTAGTTTAAAAATGGCAAAGAAAACACCTAAAAGCTGAAAGAAAATTTTTTTTTAGGTAGGAAATTTAAACGGGTACATGAAAGAATATTTCCGCGCATGTCTTCTACAAAATATATCTGAATTTGTACTAGCATCGGAAACCAATAGAACAATTCCCAGTATATATGTGGTAATTATTGCAAATCGTACTTTATGCAGATGACCAACAAGCACGGACATGACTGAACTTGCCTGGAATCATGCCGCAGGATAATTAAGAGTGCAACCACACACAAGTTAGTCTTTTTCATTGATACATATTTCCGAATGTCAGTCCATATTTTACAAGATAGCACATTTACTGTCGTTCATGATGTGATCCACTTTTGCATCAAAAAGGTCTGCGCGAGCTGCCATTAGCTGCTGAATTATCTTATTAATAATTTTGTGATTTAGTGGATACTCCAGTCACGATCGCTGTGTAATGACAAAGTTGACCTGAGTGCACTCACCACACGGATGTCTACCTATCTGAACATTTAATCAGGCTTTGTCCAGAACGAGTAAAACATCACCTAATTTTGTAGCGTGGGTAATAGTATAATTTCATGAGGATGGTTAGTGGAAGCCTTTAAAGGGTGGGAAAAACAGGCCTACGGCCAACTACGACCAGGTTTTTGATGTACTTGCATTGCATTTTGATGTACTTGCATTACAGTCACACAATGAGATGTGAACGAATGGGCACCTTGTTTTATATATTGCTTTAAATATTGTTTTATTTTGTCAAACGACGCACATATTTATAATAGGTATTCGTATCGTTTGCGTTTAATGATCGTTATGTTTTCAATTAAGCGTTTTTTTATTTGTAGTTACGGTGGCTATTTTGTTCAATTGTTGCCATGAGGCGAAAGGTTTCGCACGTAAATATTTACAAGACAGCATATTTACTGCCGTTCGTGAAAATTACCTTCGCCATACGTTATAAAATTTTCCACGGCTCACCTCCTCTCATACGCCGACTTGGATTGTGGAGTTTCACTCTCCCTTTCGTAAATCCTGATTAAATCCTTGTTTGAAAAGACTTACAAAGCCCCTGATATTGACGACAGGAAAGAAAAGGCTCTTTACCAAGGTCCCATTTCAAGGGGATAAGCCAAGTAAACTTTAAGGAAGACGCCTATTTTAAGTTGTATCACAGACCTTCCCAGCAGTTGACACCCGTGTACAGTTCTCCATTAGTTCCATCCTATACGGAGAGGGCGAGAACAAACTACCAGCTCAAGCCACATCTATGTTTATTTAATCTTTCACATGCTTCTACACTTGTAGGCAAAATATATTGGTTGCACAAGCCGGCGTTTGTTCAAAAGAATAAAAAAAAACCTTCTAGCATGGTTAAGAACAGATCAAATAACGAATATTAAAAGCTGTATCCTTGGATACATGGTAGACACGGACCACCGTCTGGACGCCAGAGAGGCCTTCAGAATGATTTAAAAGGTCCCATCAAGTTATTTAAAACTTGCCTTGTTTAATTTCTGAGGAAATTAATGCGCGAACTTGGAGTAACTCTTTCGAAATAGACCTTATTAGGCACGGTCCGAAATTCGAAATGAATATTTGAGCTGAAATCCATCAGCTACTGCGGAATAACCGCTTGACATTCCTAAACCGCCAACAGGCAGCCAGTAGTATAGAATTGTGCAACTCGCAGCTGCGTCAGGCAGCGGCATAAGATCAGCGAAACACGTGTGTCTAGGCTTTTAGCTATTACCTGTGTTGTTAGTACGGTCAATCACTACACAATACTATTTAAAACTACTTGGGCAAAGCTTATTGGCCATGGAAGAGGCAACTGCAATCAGGCTACCCGGACCTGTCCTATGCGCACATATCTTCATACAGGACCTGCAGTAGCCATGGGTCAAAGCCACCAAGCCAACCACCCGCATGTAATTACCTTCCTTGGGCCCACCCTCTCCCTTACAATGAGAGGAATTTTGGTGTTTAACTCTTCCCCTCCGCACCCCTCTCCTCCCAAAATGCAAGCTACAGCATAATTATCGACTTGATCGTATTTTTTAATTCATTACTTTAACAGCCATACAGTTTTGCAAGCCGAAAGAGAATTTATCGAAAGCAGACGTAGGCTCGCAAGTTTCCTCCGAACATACATATTCGGCATAACATAGGTTGGCTATTGGACGTAGGAATATTTTCAATTTATCCACAACTGTTTTATTCCCTGCTAGTTTGTGTGTCTGAGAAGCCTAATCCCAGGCAAGAAGGGAATTTGCGCACAGTTCAGGCTTACTGTTCACCTCTGAAAATGTAAGCAAAGAGACCTACGCCAAAGGAAATGACCAGCGACGGAACTTGTACTTTTAACGGCTTTAGAGGACAGACTCGCCCGCTCTGCCAGAAGCCTATTTCCTAACAGTTGACCGTTGTCCCTTTAACGATCTTTAATTGGTTGAAATACCCTCACCTGCAGTTAGCCGTGCTCTCCAGCGTGGCACAAATTTCCGGACATGATCTATATTAGCTATCGCATTTCCGCATACCGTTATCTTGACTCTAGAAGTGTTCTTGGGAACTTCTATCGCACATCACTAATTTATTTGTTCAGTTTCGCATTTCGTACATTGTGGGAAACTACAGTTAGTGACCTAACTCATGAAATTTGTCGACATTTACGAATGATTGTTAATCACACGCAAAACGACACCATTTAATGAGTCCGATTTCTGTGTTATTGAACTACAAGTTTAAAAGAATTAAAATCATAAAAGAATTTTAAAAGGCAGTTTTGCGTTATTTGGAAATGCCGATTTATTTTGAAGAGCGCAATATCCCGAAAACACCAGAAATGTCTCTTCTTAAGTAAAATTCGTTTTTTCGGTGTACAGAACGTATTATCATACCAAACCGTAGTATGTATGAAATCAGACATTTAATAACGTCTAATAACAGTGTTTCAGTAAAGTTTATATCGTTTAATAAGAAGTATGATTTCATACATGACGGATTTTCAAATGCTTCATCATGAGTGCAGATTCTCGAACAATCTTCCATTGAGCCTTCCTTTATCGTCTTTGTTTGAAGTAAATTAGGTGGGTTTCAACACGAAAAGCTGGTTTTTGCTTGAGTTCACCGATGGGAATGTCGTGGGATCAAAGGTTTTTATAAGGCGACATGCCATGTGGCCGGTTGATGCCTAAGAAATTTAAATAGAACTGACAGGCGTGATCGTAAACATACCAGTTACTGGTTATAGATAGAAACTTCCTTCCGTCAAATAAATTTACACTTTTTGTTCGTTTTGGTTTACTTTGAGTTTCAGATCGGCCCCGAAATGTTGCTGAATACTTCAATTATTTTTAGTGTCTTCACCCGATCGCCCATGAAGACAGATTATGAATTACCTATCAGTTAAGAACTTTAAAATAAGATTATTCTTGAAGATATTTGCCGAATTAGTACGTGCTGGGGTTCTTTTTTTCAAAAAGATGGTCGTGTGGGTCACATGTGAAGACTCCTTCAAACATCAAACTTCACTTTCGAAAAAAATGTCGGTCCACATCGAAAGTCAGCGACGAATATGTCTTTGATCAATAAGGAAACCTTCCTCAATAAGTTACCTTTTTAAGAAGTGCCTTATTACTGCATTCCGTGGACGAATTTCTGTGTACTTTGCACTTTAAGGAGAAATAAAAATTTGACACGTTTGGCCGTTTCTTTCACGTTCCTAAACAATACTGTTTTTTTCCCCCGTAGCCGTAAGAGCATGCCGTCTTCTATACATTAAGGCCATTTTTTACTGTTTTGCTTGCTTTTAGTAATTGGTATTCGATTATGAATGTACGACAGAGCGCCCATATAAATAGTGATATTTTTTCTGAAACTATTAATGCTTTGCTTGTTGTATTTCTGAATGAGATATCCACAGAATCTAAACTGCACGACAAGTAGTGTTTTATATGTTGAAAGCTGGAAATGACCATTCTGTGGTGGTCATCTATGTGACATCAGGTAGAATTTTCCAAACGGCGAAAAAAATTTAGCCAACTTAAACAAGGAAATCCCTATCTGCGTTATTTCTGCGCGTTTGTACACCAAATCACATAGGTCTGCTAATTTAACATTTATAAACTAATAAAAACCCTGGTTCTCATAAAATAACCTTTGTGTTAGCAGGTTGATCATCATGGTTATCATTGGACTTAAAATAAAATTGCAGGTTCAGATAAATCTGCTCATTAAAACTTTAGCGGTTAATTTAATGTCCTTTTAATAAAAAAAAGTCGTTCAGATGCGCAACCGGTGTTCTGAACAGGCATTAGCATAGGAATTGCACAAATGTAATAAAACGTCCATTTTCGCTAAACTGTACTGATATTTTACTTGATATAATTACGTAAACCCAATTTCCGCAAAACAAAATGGCACTGGTTTGAGCGCAATGGATGAAAGAACAAAATGCGCTAAGTTAAAGACGCTAAGAAATTCTCGTTTTAGTTTCCGTTTTGAGATTTCACGAGATAGGTCACGAACTGTATTTTTTATCAAACTCAAGCAGAGATCGGAAAATAAAGTGTGACTTGCTACGAGAGCCCCAAGATATATGAAACTGTTTGACTTATTTTAAAAGGAACTCACCGGAGAACGGAAATATTTATCCTCCCCAGTATATTCAGTAGCGTCATCCAAATTATCAGGACTCGGTTGTTTTTCCGTACTCAACTTAGTATTGATCCATTCAAAAGGACAGGCACTTTGACTACAATGTATACATAACGCAACTGTTGATTTGTATAGTCTAAACAGGAAAATGCATGTCTGTAAATAATACCGACGTACAGAATGATTATTGATCCGTGGCGAGACGCGCAGTACTTCAGCACGGCCGACGAATGATCCGAGTGCTCCTTCAAGACTGTCACTCACGTATTCGCAAATACCGTCGGAGGATTGACCAAGAGAAAGCAAGGTGCTGCGAGTTCATGGGCGAGGACGGCATAAACCTGCTTCCGCAGAGGCTGGTTGAACGAACCCGCAAACATAAAGCAACGCGCGAAGAAGCCCTAAAGAGAAACTTTTGTAAGCTGCCTATTCCAATGTCGACCAAGAACGACAAACTGGTGCACAACCTGTCGTCAAAGGAGCTGACGGAGGAACAAATGCAGGTTTTACGGCATGAGGCCTCATTCAAGACAGCCGTTGCCAAACCTGTCAACATGATCGCAGCGGTGGAATCAATCCTCAGCCAGACGGGAGCGACAGACGAAACGAAGAACCTCATTCGACACCAAGTGTCCTCCCTCCTCATGGCTCATAGGCCGCGCGATGTGCTTTCCAGGGTCAAGCGCGATGCACTTAAGGAACTCAGGGCCGACAACGACCTCGTTATCGTGCCTGCGGACAAGGGGCGTTCAACGGTCGTATTGGACAGGACAGACTACAATCAAAAAGCCAAAAGCTTGTTGGAGGATCGTCAGTCCTATGTCCCATGCGAATCCAACCCCATGAAAACGCTGACACGCAAGATTAAAGCGACGCTGTTGACAATGGAGGACTCAGGTGCAATATCGCCAATCGACCGACGCATGGCGAGAGCACAAGAAACGGCCCTAGCCCGATTCTACGGTCTCCCAAAAGTGCACAAAGAGGGCGCTCCTCTCCGGCCTATCGTATCACTAAAGGGCACTCCAACCTACGGATTGGCAAAGTGGCTGTTCCAACGTTTCAAGTTTCTGACCTCCGATTCGAACACCACAGTCAGTTCATCAACGCAATTCTTGGAGAAAATTAAAGAAGTAAGTCTCCTGCCAAGCGATATCATGGTTTACTTTGATGTCACGTCCCTTTTTACTTCTATCCCGCAGGACCTGGCAGTCCAGACAATCGAACTACTCCTACGAGGGAAGTACGACGAAACAGAGAATCGCCTCGGACACGCCCAAATCATCCAGCTCCTGAAGTCCTGTCTCAAGACGTACTTTACATTCGACGGAACAATCTCCGAGCAGGTGAAGGGAACGCCAATGGGTTCGCCGATTTCGGGACTCATAGCCGAGGCGGTCCTACAACGGCTGGAGTCGCTGGTTTTCCGACACCACAGACCGAAATTCTGGGCTCGGTATGTGGATGACACCTTCGTCGCCATCGAACGGGATCAGGTGCTGACTTTCAAAGAACAACTCAACGCCGTCTTCCCGGACATTCAATTTACGATGGAGGAGGAGGAAGACAATCAACTGGCCTTCCTGGATGTCCTCGTCTGCCACAAAGATTGTGGTGGCCTAAAAACCAAAGTGTTCAGGAAAGCGACAAACACAAGGCCAATACTGAACTTCAATATCAATCACCCGATCAGTCACAAACGCAGTTGCGTAAGGGCGCTATACCGGCGCGTTGAGACGCACTGCAGTGAAATGAAAGACAAGGTTACTGAATTACAATATCTTCGACGGGTGATGAGAGCCAATGGCTATCCGCGCAACTTTGTCAACCAGTGCATACGAAAAGGACACCAGAAACCAGATCCAACTAGCCCCACATTTTGGCGGGCTCTTCCGTAGGTGAAGAACGTCTCGGAAGCCGTCAGTCGTCTTCTCATTCCACTTGGAGTTGTGGTTGCACACAGGTCGGAAGCAACCATTAGGCGCCAAGTAATGAGGCCAAAAGACCCGCTGCCACGGCAGGAAACGTCTGGAGTCGTTTACCGGATCTGCTGTAGTTGCGGACAAAGCAATTATGTCGGAGAAATTGGGGGATTACTCCGTACGCGACTTGCCAAGCACGCAGCAGAAGTGAGGCGGGGAGACGCTAACTCTCAGGTGGCGGCACACTCGACGGGACCCGGCCATATTTTCGAATTTCAAGAGGCCGAAATCCTCGCAAGGGGTGACAACCGCGTGAGCCGCGAGCTGCTCGAGTCATGGTTGTCAGGCCCGCAATTCATCAACAAACACAATGACCTCCCGGTACCCTATTCCGTATTGCGATTTTCCCTGGGCAGGAGAATCAGTCACGTGGGGGGGGGCGCGGGTGAGCAATTATCACGGTGACAGTGAGCCAGAAATCGTCACACCAGCATCCAGCACGGATGACGAAATCGCGGCAATTAAGGACTCGGACTCGAACCGCCAAGCCACCGCCGCATCAATTACGACCCCAGCGACGATTGCAAGAACTGTTAATTGCAGTACGCATACGGTCCCCCGGCAGCCACGTGCTGTAAATACTGCACTCCTGGTGCCACCTTCACCTCTATCTGCGAGTGTCTCTGATGATGGATTCAAATGAGAATCCGAAACGTCAGGCAAATAAACTTCTTGTTCCAGTGATCGCATCTTCATCTTTTGAACTGCTACCTGGGACTCGCCTGTTCGCTTCTATCAGCAACCTTTGTACGGTTTAAGTATGTAAAACCGCCTTCATATTCCTTTCAATGTGCTAGTTTAGAATACCTTAATTAAACCCACTTAGTTTTTTAAAAATTCCCATTGCAGTATTTAGAAATTAGTTGGTGACCTTACGTTTGTTTTCGGTTAATGCTCGTCAAGCCAGAACATTTACACGGGCAAAGGGTCAAGTAAAACCTGTCAGTGATCAGAGAATTCGATTAATGTTCGTCTTTAAACACAGTCAGGTTGTAGTAAAACGGACCATGCCGGGGAGTGGTGAGAGCGAAATGGTGCGGAGAGTTCCATGTAGTTAATCGGTCGTTGATTATGCTAAGCTTAAGGACTGAACGTGGTTTTTCTGTGAGCAAATGGTTGATTTTCGTAACTTAATGGCGGACGTTTTTGCTGTAACCCACAGACACTGGCACCACAGTTTACGGTAGCTCTATGCGGCTTTATAAATCACGCCAAAAGCTTCGCTTGGGTCATATGATGCCCGGAATCAACGAAATGCGAGAAAATGGCGCTGTTTATACTCCTAATGTTGCCTTTTCCCATGCCGGAATGTTTTTCGCTTTCCCTTGAAACGGGCACCGTCTCGTACGACCAACATAACCTGTTCCACAAGAGCAAGCGAAGGACTAGATACAGATCGACATGACCTGATTTAGCGAATTATCCACACCTTCTCATAAAATGAGTTAAATAATGAATAGTGGATGGACCCGTGTTGCTGGAAAGGTTCAATAGACAGCTTAGCCAGTAATAATTTACTGAATTTGGCAAAAAATGATAAATAAATTAGGAAAAAGGGAAAATACTTCGACTAACAAAAACATATTTTAGTTAACGCACTTCAAGCACGCTTGGATAAAGAATGCCTGTCAGGCCTAATCTTAACATTTCTTTGAGAGTAGAACTCGAGGACAATTGGTTAAGAGAGGTAGAGATGCCACAGTTTATGGATCTCCGAACCAGACGCATGTCTTTTGGGGAGCTCTTTAAAAGACCAATTTTCTGATCTGAACTTCCTAGTAGGATATAATAATATAAGTCAGACCGTGGGATTATGTGTCAAATAAAAAAAAATTTGGTGATTCGTTTGAATGTGAAAAAGATATTATTGGAGGAAGCGAACTATTTCAGGCCAAGGCGAATAAGGATGTGCAGAATTGCGGGACAAAAACTTATCACTTGAGCTAATGCAATCCTCGCAATTCAGGAAAACCCAAAAGCTGACGGCAGAACCTTGGCGTATTGAGTTAAGCATAGACAATAACGCGTATAAAATCGCCAAATCTTTTTAGTACAAAGGGTTTCCTTCTGGCAGCAGCTATAATAACAACCACATTGAATCTGATTGGCAAATCCACTCTTTGCCCAGCCTATCCCACCTATGAGGGTTTTTAGTCATTTCGAAACCGACAGAAGGATGACCACTTAACCAGTGTGGAATCATTCATATTGCTACAGTTGTTAACAATTTTCTTTTTAAATAAATGATCAACTTTTTAAGACGGAATATGCGACAGATTGGCTTTGGCGTTATTTACCTGATTTCAATAACAATAGACGCAGGCGATTCAAATAATTTTCCAATTTTTTCGCTGCCTCTATTCTTCTGAAAGCAGATGCACCAATGTCATATTATTTTGAGCCCGTTTTTATCAGTGCTGCTTAAAGTGCTCAGATTATAAATGCCCTATTAAAGACCCATTTAACTGCTAAAACATATACTTATCAGTTAATTCAATGATCTTTATGTTCCTTAATTGCATCTCTGCAGGAACCAACGCGCAAATAAAACGTCGAACTGCATGCTCAAAAGGTTTGTAGACCGCTTAGTGGTGAACGGCCTCGCGGTTGCTTAGGCAATGCTTTCACCTATTTAAAAATCGGCTAACGCATTACTCATCCGGTGGCGCAATCCCATTCCAATTTGAAAATAGGAATTTATAACTAAAACGATTCTTTCGTTTTTTTCAAAAAACATTGTTGTTGAAATCGTCTTGGGCTCATTTACACAGATAAGTAAATTTAACTGTAAGTTAGTAAAGATTGTTTTAACGGGCTTTTCTGTTTTAAGCCAACGTTCTCTTCTGGAAACTGCATTTCCCGATAGGAGCATGTGAACGACGGTATCGTTACCATAGGAATTTTCAAAACACTCGGCAGTGTTAAGTATTGCCCAAGGGGTAGCCCTTATAGACTTGTTCAGGTCGCTCTACATAAGACATTTCAGCTTGGAAGGAGAAGGAGATGCGACGACTGGAACATGTTTATTAATTGACGTTTAGGTTTTATACTCGAACCCATCGACAGAGACAGTCGCAGGTAGGGGTAATGAGACAAACAAATGCGTACGTACGTAATACGTAGCGGCCGTTGGGCCACACACGTACTATAGTTAACAGCTCTCACGATCACTTCTGGAAGTCGTAATTGACGCGATGATGATAAGTTCATCCGCATCTGGGTTGTTAATTGACGCAGTTTCATCATGCGTTTTGGATTTTAGCGTGATGAGTACTCAGCAATATGGCTCGCTCTCACCGGGATTGTTGATCGATCGTGCCCTACTCACATTACTGATTGTCCTGTCAAGAAAATGTCGCAACACCGAATATGGTAACGGGTGGCCACTGCGCTTTTTGATGGATTGTAGGCATGAGAACCAGGATTCAGGCAGTTAGCTCTTGCGAGGATTTCGTCCTCCTGAAACTCGAAAACATGGCAGGGTTCAGCGGAATGCGCGGCCATTTGAGTGCTAACGTCTGTCGCGTCCGAAGCTATGCCTAAGTTTCTTCGGCGAAGTTGCTCTGCCCACAACTGCACCAGATATGATAAATGACTGCGGCCGTTTCCCTTCGTCTTTCGACCTTATGACTTGGCTTCTGATGGTCGCTTTTGGTCGGTGTGCAACTACAATTCCAAGTGGAGTGAAACATTGGCTGAGGGCTTCGAGACGTTCTTTGCGTACAGAAGATATCGCCAAAAATTAAGGCCAGTTGGATTTGGTATTTGGTTTTGTTTGCGGATTGCGCTAGCTGGCAAAACCGCTCAGGTTTCCGTCAGCTCTTACCGTCCGCTGTAATTCAGCAACCATGTCTTCCATTTCACTGCAGTGCGTCCGAACGCTCCTCTACGCTACTGCGTTTGCGACTGATCATGTGGTTGCTGTTGAAGGTCAGTGTTTGCGTCGTGCTTGTCATCTTTCGCTTACACTTTTTAGTCCACTACAATGTTTTCGTCAAACGAAGACATCCAGAAAGGCTCACTATCATAAATTGAATTTCTTGAAAAGCGGCGTTGAAACGATCTTTGAATGCTAGCGCCCTACCTTATATGATGACAACAAAGGTACCATTCAAAAAATTGTGGTTCGTGGTGCTGGTGAACCAGCGATTCCAACCGTTGTATGACCGCCTCCGCTATGCGTCTCGGTATAGGTGAACCCATTGGCGTGCTCTTTACCTACTCATAGATTGTTGCGTCAAACCTAAAGTACGTCTTTAGACAGAATTTGAAGAGTTGGAGGATGTGCGTGTTCCCAAGGCGATTCTCCGTTTCATCGGTTTTGTTTCTTTCGAGCGGTTAGGCCGCCCTGACCGCCCGATTATGATAAACGGGACGTGAAATTTAAAGTGTGCATGAAGTGCCTTGGCTTGTACGACTGATAAAATAAATGCGAGACGTCTAAAGTCATTCCGCTAAGACATGTTTATTTTAAACATCCTACTTTCTGACTATGATCACTAACTGAAAGTCGAAAAATAGGCTTAAAAATCTTCATGTTTAACACTTCCAAAGAAGGGCGTTAATAAGAGGGAACCGATGTCCCGTAGGACTGGGAACTGGGGTATACATATAGTTTTGGCATACCCATCAGTACTGAATGATAACCTCTATTTTTCGTAGAACAAACATAAAGGTCGAATGCCATGCATTTGACGATTTGTATTTAAATAGTTCTATCATTTATAGTCAACCTTATGTAGTAAACATATTTTTAAAAGCAGTTGTAAACATCCCCATAAAGATAACAAGACGGTAAATAAAGTACCATAACAAATAAAATTTTGGTTCGCCCATTTTAAGTCCACATTCGACAAGATGATCAGAAGTGTTATAAGAGTATATGTCGGTCTATTTGAAAACCTATCCAATCATGA